ACTTTCATGAGAATATTTGTTCGTAGGTTTGTACGTTGGACTTTATATGAGCTCTTCTGTTGAAACATTGTCCCATCCAGTTGGAAATAAAAGAATCCCTTGGTTTTTGTTTGTAGGACAGACAGTTCAAAATGTACCAGGTACAAGTTTCCTCAGGGTCACCTGGGTCTATCAGATACATATAAAAGGCAAGGAGTGTGTACTCTTGCCTCCTATAATAATAGTGTAGGTATTGGCAGTTAATTAGTTGTAATTACATATACTTAGTTCCATGAAAAGAGCCTGGATTATGTTGAGGTAGAAGAATAGATTCCTCTATTGAAAAATATTGAGGCATATTCCTATTGAAATCTACAGGAAAAAGATAAAGACTCCCAGTGTTAATACAAAGAATTAAATTGAAGACAGGTTTGGAAATTTGGGGGAAACTGAGGTTTCCATAGTAAAGGGGGTCTATAACCACCAATAAAAAATAGTCTTGTAAGATTGTGCAGTTATGTTGAGGATAGGGAAGAAGTATATGTCAAAAGAAAACAAAAGGGAATTCTAGGGTGTCTTATGGTGATATCTTGGGTGGAAAATTATTACTTCCTGAAGTTATCTGCTTGGCCCAAGGTTCTGGAGAAGATTTCTACCTCACGGCTCTCTGTGTTTCTCGGGCCACTCCAGAGGGAACCTTTGTTCCAATTGGGGTGAACTTCCATTCACACTAACTTTTGTATCTTTTAGTTTGGAGATGTGAATCCAAGGTGGATCCCGTTTAGTAAACTTTAATTTTAATAGTCCATTAACTTTCTTTATTACCCCTGATGACTGGTGATGATAAGGGCAACATAACTTGTGAGATAAAGGAAGAATTTCATAAATATCTTGGATGATTTTTCCAGTGAATTGGGTCCCTCTATTTTTGACTGATTTCCTTGGGACAGAAATCTAACAAAAATCTAGGCAGGCCACCCAATGTGTTGGCTTTCCAGCATTACTAGAAAGGAGAGAGATTGAATCAAAGTTGTCAAGCTAAGAACCGAGGAAGGTATGTAAAGGGTGAGATGATTTATAATGAAAGTGGCAAGTGGAGGCTAGTAATATTTCATGAACTTTTTTAAATGTTCCTGGAAAATAGTGTTTGTGAACTAAGACAATTATTTAGTGATCTTGGACTAAACCTAAATAGGTAGGTATAAACACATAGCACAAGAATCAAGTCCTGTGACTAATATAATTTTAATAGAGAGTGAAATCTCTAGACACTAGGAAAATAAATAAGTAAAAAGCTTTGAGGGACCAGATATTAACTAACTTTGAATTCCAAAAGGTGAAATTTGAGCTTTACAACACAGCAATCACTCTAATGGTTCAGACCCTATACTAATAATTTATAAGAGTGCAATGATGTGTTTAAAAATTGTTGTTTTTAAAATATGTACAATAAACTAGTCACTGACTATGTAAGTTCTCCATGATATAAACTAAGTTTATTCATATTATTCCCACATATATCTGGATATGGGCAGATCTTAGAAACAGTTATGAAGTGGCAAAATTATCTTTGGACCACTCACTCTCTGATTATCTTTCTTGCTTTTTCACAAAACTTTGTAAAAAGTAGTTGATTTTATAAAAAGTTAAGGTGGTTAGTAGGCTGTATTCTCAATTTATATATAAGAATAGTAACATTTTATTACATTATTTTATAATGTGGAATATAAAGAACAACTTAATTTTTCACACATTTAAATAGGCAATATATCCTGCACATCTTGTATCAGATAATTCCATGCACTGGTATTTCAATGATGAAACAAAAATAATCCTTAGTTTGATATTTTAAACCAATATGGAAAATTATAAGTGTTTCCAGAATTTTAAAAGCTTTTCTCAGTGTGAAATAAATTTAAGGGGTTTTTTTTATATTGTCAATAAAAATTTTTCAGGTGATAGAATTCATTAAAAATCTAGGCAACCTTTTAAAACATCTATTTTTATATATGCATTTAAATCTTAAGGTTTTAATGCACTACTAGAAACCAGAGATATTGTGTTGATAACTGGTATGATCTGGTAGACTTTACTTCCTAACCAAATGAGGGCTGTTTGAGAAGGAGAAAAATGTTATTTCAGTTTGCTTCAGATAGCAATTTTCCTTAGGCTAGCATGTTAAATTCTGAAGATGAGAAACATTTCTCAGCATGCCCAACCACCAAAGATAGTGTACAAGTTCATTTGGAATATTATTTGAACTTGCAGACTTTTGGAAGGAAGAACATAGCCAAAGATAGTGTACAAGTTCATTTGGAATATTATTTGACTTTTGGAAGGAAGAACATGGCTATAATTTTCCCTATACCATTTATTGAAGAGATTGTCTTGACTCCATTGTTTGCTCTTGTCTCTTTTGTCAAATATTAAGTGAACGTAATGGCTCAGGTCATTATCCAGGTTCTGTTCTGTTACATTTGTCTATATGCCTGTTCTGTGCCAGTGTTAGGCTGTTTTGAGTACAGTGGCCTTAGAGTATTACAATATCTGGTATTGTGATTCCTCCAACTCTGTTCTTCGTTCTCAAGATTGCTGCAGCTATTTGGGGTCTTTTTTGGTTCCATATAAATTTTTGGAGTGTTTGTTCTATGTCTGTGAAATATGTAGTTGTTATTTTATAGAGATTGCATTGAATCTATAACTTGTTTTGGGTAGTATGGATATTTTAACGATGTTGATTCTACCAATTTATGAACAAGGTTTATTCTTCCACTTTTTTATATCTTCCTCTATCTCTTTTATATCTGTAGATTTTTACCTCCTTGGTTAAGTTTATTCATAAGTATCTTAGGGTGTTTTTTTTTGCTGCAAATGTTAAATGGGATTATTATTATTTTTTTATTTCTCTTTCTGAGCATTCATTATTGGTGTATAAAAATGTAATTGATTTCTGTGTGAGCATGCCTCTCTGAGGAGTTTCATTCACCCATTTTCTAGTATGGCTAAGTGTGTTTCTTTTTATAATCCCAATAGAGGCCCGGTGCATGAAATTCGTGCATGGCGGTGTCCCTCAGCCCAGCCTGCACCCTCTCCAATACAGGATCCCTCTTGCAATCCAGGACCACTGGCTCCTAACTGCTCACCTGCCTGCCTGATACCCCTAACTGCTCTCCCCTGCTGGCCTGATCCCCCTAACTGCTCTCCCCTCTTTGCCTGATCACCCCAACTGCCTAACTGCTCTCGCCTGCTGGCCTAACCCCCCTAATTGCCTATCTATTCTCTGCTACTGGTCTGACCCCCCTAATTGCCCTCCCCTGCTGGCCTGATCACACTAACTGCCTAACTGCTCTACTCCGCTGCCAGCCTGATCGCCCTAACTGCCTATCTGCTCTCCCCTCCTGGTATGATCCCCCTAACTGCCTGTCTGTTCTCCCTTCCTCTCTGTACCCTTCAGACCCCGGTGCAGGCATGCTGAGAGCTCTCTGCTGCGGCCCTGCCCCCATCCTGATTGGTCATTATGTGACGGCATCCTGGCCAATTTGCATACTCCTCTATTATTAGTATAGATAGTTTCCACACTGACCCTAGAGAAGTAGGAGGGGTCTTCCTGTAGCTCCATGTATTGAGAGGTCTCCTCTCTGGCTTTCCTCTTCAGCAAAGGAGTCTGTAAACTTGTCCTGCATTTTGACCAATCTCTGGGTAAAGCATTAGAAAATCCCTGCCCCCCAAACCTTCCAGCCTATATCCAATGCTTGTGCAGCCCATTGTCCCCTGCACCATTTACTTGGTGAGTAGACTGGAATAGAGCTAATGAGTGCAGCATCAATACCTGAGGGATGGGTAAGGGATAGTTACTTGGGCAAGTCTAAAGGGAAGCCTTGAATTCTGTGGAATGAGCCTGGTATGGGAAAGGAGGAGAACCTGGAGAGTGTTGTACACATGCTACCAATTTCCTGTGCAGAATAGCAGAGGCGTTCCATAATTATAAATTTGAACTTGGTCTTGAAGCTCACACTCCTTTAAGTTGCTATAAAGGGTAATGCTAGCAAGGATAGGGGTCTTGGGTACCTTGCAGGCAGAAGTTGTCCAGCCTGGACTGGGTGGGATAATTTTAAAAAGTATCTAAACTCTAGAGGCAAAGGTCAGAGAGAAGCCAGACTGTGTACTGAGGATCAAGAAGTATGTGTAAAAGACAACAATATAGTGGTTACCAGAGAGAAAGTGTGGGAGTAGTAGCTAGAAAAGGGTAAAGGGAGTCAAATATATGGTACCAAAGGAAGATGAGTTTTGGTGGAAAACACATAATGCAATATAGAGATGATGGATTGTAGAATTAATTGTACACTTGAAGTCTGTGTAATTTTATTAGCCAGTGTCACCCCAATAAATACAATAAAATTTGTAAAAGAAGTGTGTCTAGCCCCTCAGAAAGTAGGTATTTATTTTGTGAGCTCCTCTAGTGAGTTTGAAGCAATAAGGACAGACCAGTCCGCAAGAAGAAGGAATGCTTACCCCTCTTCTCTTCTGACATCAGCCCAATAACCGCAGCTTTTCTAAAAACTAGGTCATAGTTTTTGGAAGGAAAAAAAAAATTAATCTTGAAGTGGTGTTTAGCCATACACCATTATTTTGATATGAACTGTTGCTTTAAACATAACATTAAAAAGAATCTACTCCCTGCCCCACATTTCCTTTTCCACTTGACTAGAAATTACAGTAACTGGAACAAGGTCTTGGATGCAGGGATAAAGGCACGTGTTGATAGTTACTTGGGCAAGTCTAAAGGGAAGCCTTGAATTCTGTGGAATGAGCCTGGTATGGGAAAGGAGGAGAACCTGGAGAGTGTTGTGCACATGCTACCAATTTCCTGTGCAGAATAGCAGAGGCGTTCCATAATTATAAATTTGAACTTGGTCTTGAAGCTCACACTCCTTTAAGTTGCTATAAAGGGTAATGCTAGCAAGGATAGGGGTCTTGGGTACCTTGCAGGCAGAAGTTGTCCAGCCTGGACTGAGTGGGATAATTTTTAAAAGTATCTAAACTCTAGAGGCAAAGGTCAGAGAGAAGCCAGACTGTGTACTGAGGATCAAGAAGTATGTGTAAAAGACAACAATATAGTGGTTACCAGAGAGAAAGTGTGGGAGTAGTAGCTAGAAAAGGGTAAAGGGAGTCAAATATATGGTACCAAAGGAAGATGAGTTTTGGTGGAAAACACATAATGCAATATAGAGATGATGGATTGTAGAATTAATTGTACACTTGAAGTCTGTGTAATTTTATTAGCCAGTGTTACCCCAATAAATACAATAAAATTTTTAAAATACGTGTGTCCAACCCTCTCAGAAAGTAGGTATTTATTTTGTGAGCATCTCTAGTGATTAGAGTTTGAATCAATAAGGACAGACCAGTCAGCAAGAAGAAAGAATACTTACCCCTCTTCTCTTCTGACATCAGCCCCAAATCCGCAGCTTTTCTAAAAACTAGGTCATAGTTTTTAGAAGAAAAAAAAATAATCTTGAAGTTGTGTTTAGCCATACACCATTATTTTGATATGAACTATTGCTTTAAACATAACATTAAAAAGAATCTACTCCCTGCCCCACATTTCCTTTTCCACTTGACTAGAAATTACAGTAACTGGAACAAGGTCTTGGATGCAGGGATAAAGGCACGTGTTGAAGATGGCAAAAGTATGCCGCTGGCCTTGGAATCCCCTCCCACATTTGGACTATTATGTGATAGAAAAAGAAATGTATTTTGAATTTTTGGCCAATGTTTTCTGTGATTTCCTTGTTGCAGCAGCTTATTCAGTCTCCCAACTAATTACCTTCCAGCTGTCACCACATGGCCATTCCCAGGGCATGACTGAACATATTGAGATCCTAAGGAAATGACAGGCTACGTACATATCAAGCAAAGTGGAGTTTTGTGACATGCAGTTTAAAAACTTGCACAAGTTTGAAGAACTCAATAATACTTACCTGGCCTACTACACTTATATGTCTCTTCATAGTTTACGAATCCTTGCATGGTGACCTAGCAAATCTGTGGAAAACTTACTCTAATCTATTAGGTAGAATCATAGTAGTATAGACATGTAAATAAAAGAAAACATTTTATAAGATTTGATAATAAGAAAATAACCTGAGGACAACATACTGCATCGTTGTCTGGGTGTTTTGTTTGTTTGTTTTGTTTTTCCCCATCATTGGTAACTTCAGTAGGGAGATATTACTGATTAAAATATAATACAGAACAAAACAAAATAGTGTCATTTTGTCACCCCTCAGAAATTTTTATCTTTTTCCTCTCTCCACGTAATGGTGATTCTTAACTATTTTCAGGAGTAAAAGTTTACAAAGTAATATAGATTTTAAACTGAAAAGTGTCTCCGAGAAAATTCAAAATTTTATTTTATCTGATACATTAAAAAATAGGAAGGAAATGCAGTCTCCCCTAGATGAATTCTCTCTTTCCTTTGGGAAAACACTGATTATTCAAGTGATGGAAGTGATATAATTATTAGTTGTATCATTGTTGATTTATAAAATATATATGCAGTATAGAAACATGAATAAGGAGCTTCTTTTATGTTGTTGTTGATCTATTACAGATATCCCCTCCCCCTGCCTTTCCCTACCTCCATCCAGCCCTGCTCCCCCTCCCCTGGCCTTCACCACACTGTTGTCTGTGTCCATGGACTATGCATCTATGTTCTTTACATAATCACTTCACCTTTTATTTTTAATCCCCGCCCCCCCAGTCACCTTCCCTCTGATATTTTTCAATCTGTTCCATGGATCCATGCCTTTGGTTCTATTTTGTTGTTAGTTTATTTTGTTCATTAAATTCCCTATACTAGAGAGATCGTATGGTATTTGTCTTTCTCTGATTGAATTATTTTGCTTAGCATAATAATCTCCAGGTCCATCCATACTGTTGCAAAGGGTAAGAGATCCTTCTTTTTGGCAGCTGCATAGTATTCCATTGTGTAACTGTACCAAGGCCTTTTTATCCACTCATCTACTGATGGGCACTTGGACTGTTTCCAGATCTTAGCTATTGTAAATAATGCTGCTATAAACACAGGGGTGGCATATATTTCTGATTGGTATTTTGGGATTCTTAGGATATATTTCCAGAAGTGGATCGCTGGGTCAAAGGGCAGTTGCATTTTTAATTTTTTGAGTAAACTCCATTCTGTTTACCACAGTATCTGCACCAGTCTGCATTTCTACCAACAGCGCACTAGGATTCCCTTTTCTCCACTTCCTTGCCAGCACTCATTTGTTGCTCTATTGATGGTAGCCATTCTGGCAGATGTGAGGTAATGTGGTTTAAATATCATTGTGGTTTAAATATCCATTTTTCTGATGATTAGTGACATTGAGCATTTTTTCACATGTCTATGGGCCATCTGTATGCCTCTTTGAAGTTTCTATTAAGGAACTTTTTTTATAGCAATTTTTATTTTTTTCCTTGCACTCTATCAAGTGTCAACACACAAAGAGAAAACACATTTTCATGCAATAGTCATTTCTTAAAAAATTAACCAATATATCATTAATGGAGTCACAGTAACACAAATTCCAAGATAATTATAATTTGAATTAATTAAATTTATTTATTTTATGCATGAGTAAATTAAAGAAAACACTATCCCATAAATTTATATTGCTTGAAATGATAACTATCAAACAAAATTGTTTTCTTTGCATAAATGGCATTTTAATACATTCATATCTACCTAAAATTTTAAAAATGTATTTTGTCACTTAAGAAAATTTTTAAATTAAATACTTGAATTAGGGCCAGCTGAAGGGGTCAATGGGGTAAAGGGGGACATATGTAATACTTTTAACAATAAAGATTAAATACATAAATACTTGAATTATATTTTTTTGTGGATTTTTTATTCATTTTTGTCGAAGTACAAGCACTCAGAAAGAACATAGACGGCCAACAAAGTACAAGAAACAAAGTACATCAGAACTCCCAAAATACTGCCTTTGCAGATTAGAATCATATCAAATTCAATGAGATGGAAGCAGAGGATCTTCTCAGTTAAAGTAAGTTTTAGTTATTAAGAGTCATTTTTTAGAATTTATTTTCTCATATATACATTTTTTTCTATGAAAATGGAACTCAAATTTCATGGTCTTATTTAGGAATTAATATATTTGACTAATACAATACTGAAATAAAATAATTTTAAAAATAGAAATATTTAAAAATATATAAGATATTTACTGATTTATATAATGTTTAACATCCATTGATAGCTATCTGATGTTTGAAATATTTGTTTCTTTGTGAACTTCATCTTCTATAATGCTTTTCCCCCCTCATTTAATAGAAACAACACAACAACAGTAATAACAAGACTAACTGGTTCTTGTGGAGGGGGGTGGGGGGATGACCACAAAGAGGTCAATGAGGGGAAAAGGAGACATATGTAGTACTTTAAACAATAAAGAATTAAAAAATAAAAATAAATCTCAATGAACCAGATCTCCTGGGGGGAAAAAAAAAAGAATGAACCTCTCAAATCTCTTCATTATCTGCCAAGTGGCTGCTCCTTGGATTATCCATTTGCTGATTTTTAGTTATGGGTAGTTAATTATTAAATTAAACCACTCATGCTAGTAGTTTATTATCAACATTTCCTCTTTGATGATTATCAATCTATCTTAAGACTGGTCCTGTAACTTTTCTCATCATTCTATTTAAATCTTACTAAGTTGAGCTGTGTAATCATTCTAATGTCATATGGAATGAGTTTCATTTATTTTTTGCCATGTGGGATAATTTATAATTCCTACCTTCTTAAAATTATACATTTTGATCCCCCTTACATAGTAAACATTTATTCATTGTATGCTTCTCCATCTCCTCCTCCTCTTCTTCCTCTTCTTACTTCTCCCCCCACTCTCCTCCCCTTCTTCCCCCTTCTCCTCTTTCTCTTCCTCCTCCTCATGCATTGGTCCCTCTTTACTATGCACTATTGCTCACCCTTATATTTAATTACTCCATAATATTTTATATTTGGCTTTTTGTTTCTCACTACTGATTTCATTTCAGTGTATCTATTATCATATTTTTTTCTATTTGCTTCCTTAGATTTTTATTTCCAGAACAAAATTTTTATAGAGATATTTATAAATATTTTTAAAATATATATTCAAATCTATAATACATTTATACTTTGATTGACAGGCATTTTTAGCTTAACATATCTCAAATGGAATGTCTCATCTTGCTCCATTCTTTTCTAAACCAGTATTTTCTCTTTTAGTGAGACAACCTTGACTTTGTCACCCAACCGTAAAATTCAATTATTTTTTTATCTTTTTCTTGTGCATCCAAACCATTTAATCATAAAACTCAGCTGATTTTACACTATACATGTCTGAAAAAAAATGTCAGCATCTCCATCTCTATTAGTACAGTCATAATTCAAGTTTCCACTATTGCTTTTGAGGGGTTCTGTGTCAGCTGCCCAAATTGCCTTTGTGTTGCCAACCATCTCTCTCTCAAGCTTATCCTCCAATGTTGCTTTGTAATGCAAATTACATCCTCTCTTATTTTAGAAAATAATAGATTCCATCAATATAGATGTAAATATCAATCCTTTACTAGCTTTCTGTTGATCTTTCTAATCATCCTTACCTTACACTCTTGATAAGGATGCAACACTGTGAAGTTTGGGATTTCTTACACATAACATGATCTTAATTTCTTCGTTTTTGAATGTTTTCCCTTTCAAAAACCTCTTGGCCTGGGTAAATATTATTCATAGTTTTAATATTAAGTTCATGTGTTCTTTCCTATAGAAAAATTCTATAAGCTGAAGGAATGTGTTAGAATGAATTAAATAGCTCTCCTTGGTATTCTTTTATAAAATCATGTAATCTAGGGATAATGGAAGTTTTTACTTTTTTTAATTTTTAAATCAGGTTCCATTTATTCATTTTTCTTACTTTATTGCACTGCCTTGGTCTGCCAGTACAATATTGGATAATGGTGGTAAAAATGGACATTCATGCCTTTTTCCTGATCTAAGGATAAGATATTTAGTCTCTCACCACTAAATATGATGTTGACTCTAGCTTTTAGATATTTTATATGTTACATTTTCATATTTATAATTCTAACATTGAGAATTTTTATCATAAACCGATATTGAATTTTGTCAAATATTTTCTTCTGCCATTAAGATGATTTTCAAGTTTTTGTTCTCTATTTTATTGATGGAGAATATTATATTAATTGATTTTCTTATGTTGAACCAACCTTGATTTCCAGGGATAAATTCCACTTGGTCATGGTTTCAGAAGTTCACAGTTCAGTTCCCCTTTCAGTCAGAGAATGGTAGCTGACACATCTCCACCCTATTTACTCCTGGTAGTGTGTGGTCTTACACATGTGCACAGGTTCTGCACCATTAGGGATATGTCATTTTAATATTGTTGTCTTTAACTCTCTCTTTCTCCTTATCCCTTGTTAAATTTATGAGTGATCAACATATTTATCTTTTCTTTTAATGTTTTTTCATTGATTTTGGAGAGAGAGAGGAAGGTAGAGAGAACACAATGGAATACTACTCAGTCATAAAAGAGGATGAAATGCTGCCGTTTGCATGGATGGACCTTGAGAATATTATGCTAAGTGAAATAAGTCAATCAGAAAAAAGCTAAAAACCATCTGATTTCACTCATATGTGGGGTATAAAACTGAAACTTGTGAGCACAAATAGCAGTGTGGTGATTGCCACAGGGAAAAGGGGGTGGGGGGAGGGAAGGGTGCTAATATAAGGCGACAGGAGATTTGACATTGGGTGGTGGACACACAGTGCAATATACACATCTTGTAACATAGACACCCACACCTGACACCTATTTGATCATGTTGACCAATGTCATCCCAATCAATTTAATTAAAAATTTTAAATTAAAGAAAGTGTCACTGGTAGAATTGTTTCAAGGCTGAAGAAGTTAACACTGAAGCTCAAGTACTATTTTGTTGCCTGACCAATTACACAAACCATTAGGTCTTCTTCTAATAATCTTTCTAACCTTTCTAATCCCCCAAGGAGCCCTTTAAAATTTGGGAACCCAGATTAAGCTGCTCTGGACTCAGGTTTTGAAATGTGACTTAGGTTGTACATCTTTTGAGTTTGCAATTCTTCCAGAGCTATCCTGAATCATGGATGACTGAGAATAGACTTAGATGGAACACTTAAAATTTCTAAAAGTGAAAATAACTGTATACCACCCAAAATCTACATAAACATTAACATTGTGATAATTATCTAATAATATAAAAGCTGCAGTCTTAACACAGTGTAATTTCTTACAATAACTCCAATCTAATCAGAATGAAGTGATGCCCTAGCTGGGTAGCTCAGTTGGTTGGAACATCTTCCCTTACATCAAAAGGTTGAGGGTTTGATTCTGGTCAGGGCACATATGTAGGTTGCAGATTCATTCCTGTTGGGTTGTGTATGGGAGGCAAACAATTGATGTTTCTCTATCTATCTGTCTATCTCTGCCTTCCTATCTTTAAAATCAATGGAAACATATCCTCAAGTGAGAATTTAAAAAAAAATGAAGTGATAGTGAAGTTCATGAAAGAAACAACAAATTGTGCATTATGTTTTACCACAGATATGCAATATTTATGGCCTAAAAATTTATTTATATTTATATTTATTATACATATTAATAAACACCTGAGTTCCACAGAGTGGTTGACAAGATTTTATGTGGCCAAAGATGTTGGCTTGTTCTGCCAAAGTAGGAAATTCATCCAGAATGAATGGCACAAAGGTTCCAACCAGGCACTCTTCAGTTAAATATCATCTCTAATCAGTTGATCTCTGACACTACATTTGTAAAATAAAGTGGTTGGTTTAGAAAATCATGAATATTACATTTACCTTCCACATGCTTTGGCAGAAATTTGAAAAAAGGAAGTCTTTGGGAAGCAGATAGAGAGAAATTTCTGCATTGTATGAACTACCAATATTTTTTACAAACCCACAACATTTCTTTGAAGCTAGCTGCATATTCTTGAATATTGAGTATTTTTTTCTCACAAGTTCCTCTAGATCAATGGAATTTTCTTGTGTTTTAAAACAGAATCCCTTTTTTGCAGGAGCTTTACATGGTTGGTATTTTGCTAGCTTTTACTAAGGTTGCCTGTTGGATTCCAGTCAGGGCACGTACCCAAGTTTCAGGGTCCATCCCCAGTGGAGAGCATGCAGGCGGCAGCTGGTCAATGTTTCTCTCTCATGGATGTTATTACCTCTCTTTTCCTCTCCCTTCCTCTCTCTAAAAACAAAACAAAACAAACCAAAAAACAATAAAAATATATTTTAAAATAACAAACTAAAATTTTGGAAATATGGGAAAACATAGCAGAAACCTTGTTTTCTTGTTTTCTGGTTCGGGACAATATGGTGAGGGAAAGGAGCAGCTAATGACGGGGCAGTGGGGAGATAGGGCCCTACATAAGTGTTCACCATTCCAAATCCAAAGTAAACCCACATGAGGTTAAGAATTCTGACACGTGCCCTAACCGGTTTGGCTCAGTGAATAGAGCGTCAGCCTGTGGACTGAAGGGTCCTAGGTTTGATTCCGGTCAAGGACATGTACCTTAGTTACCTGTAGGGAGTGTGCAGGAGGCAGATAATCCGATGTTTCTAACTCTCTATCACTCTCCCTTCCTCTCTGTAAAAAATCAATAAAATATATATATTTTTTAAAAGAATTCTGACACGTTTCATTTCTTGGCCAGGATTTATTCTAGAATCTATGGCGCTCTGCATTTGTGTGAAAGCCATCAGTTATGTGTAAATAATTTTGTAATAGTCCAGAATCTGTTAGAAGTAGTCATAAAAATACATTAGAGTTTTGGAAATGCAATGTGAATTAAAAAATAGAAATATACAACCACTTTTAAAAGTGCCAAAAATGTAGATGTTTTGATAAATGCATGATACAATTCCCAAAGACACATAGATGTTGGAAATAGTTTCTCTATTCATTACAGCAAAATATATTTCTCTTCCTTTTCTTCTTCTTGCTTTGCTTTTCTCTCTTCCTTTTCTCACCATTCCTCCTGTCCCTTCTCTTGCTCTTTCATTTTGAGAAAATAAACTAGAAGATATGTGGATAAAAAGGTGGCTTAATAAACAATTTAAATATACCAAATTCTATTTATGCTCTTAAATAATGTATTATTTAATGCTTTTCCTGTGAATTTCATTTGGAAGATTTCGTTCATGGCATCTAAATGTAAGCATTGTACAATACTTTAAATTATTATTACCAGATATTACATGTAACAGCCTAAATACTGCAAGATTTAACATTGGGAAATGTCATATATGCTTTATGTTTCCTGACTTTATTCATGCTTAATATGAATATGGTTGTCATTTGTCATCTGACTTCACATGCACATTTTTCTTATATGTAAACATCGCATGGAATCAAGCAAAGCACAATGTATTGTGCCTGTCAGTAATTTCAGAATATGAGTGCAATTATCAGAGCATTCACTTTTATATTTCTTCATTTTGTCCAGGAAAAACTGACAAGATCAATACTTTATTAATAAGTATGATATTCCCCATTTAGTATTTTTTCTGTTGTATTCTTTGTAACTTCGTATGCTGTAGGTATCAATCAGTATTCTCTGGAATATGTTTATATGCTTGGGCAAGAAAACACATTTAAGATCTATGGAGCAGGGATACAGTATAAAAACTCAGGGTTTGAAAGAAAGCCACAATTAAGCCTGAAGTCCTGAGGCAGAATTTCTTCTTTGGTTAACCTTAGTTGTTGCTCTACGGGACTTCCACATCATTGGATGAGGCCCGTCCGCTTGATCAGGAGTAGCCTACTTCAAATCAGCTGATTGGATGTTAGCCACATCTGCACGGTGCTTTCACAGCTGCACCTCAATGAGGGTTTGATTAATAGCTGATTACTCCAGCTGTAGCCTCATTGACACGTAAAACTAAGGGTCACACTTTGCAAAGTTCTGTTTTAAAAGATATGACATGGGAACAGCATAGGACTTATATTAACAATTTCAGAATGTACGCACTCACCTTTGGAATCATAGAGAACTCTAATTGCTTTGAAATTCAATCTTTAAAAACAATGCAGGAATATAGGATCCCAGACCTCTCTAGGTATACAGAAATTGTCCTCCTCCTGAGCTCAGTCTAGCAAATTATGCATAAAGTTTAGTCTCTCAAAGAAATAATATTTTTTTCTTTTGTTAATCCTCACCTGAGGATATTTTTCCATTGATTTTCAGGGAGAGTGGAAGAAAGAGGGAAAGACAGAGAGAAATATCAATGTGAGAGAAACACTTTGGTTGCCTTCTGCACATGCCCCTACCAGGGCCTGGGCTGGGGAGAAGGCTGCAACCCAGATATGTGCCCTTGACCTGAATAAAACCAGGGACCCTTTGGTCCACAGGACGATGCTCTATTCACTGAGCCAAACTAGCTAGGGCAGAAATAATAAAATTTTAAAGCTGGCAGTATCAAAGGTCACACAAAAACTTTTAAGGTTGCATAGTAAGTGCCAGGTATCTTTTGAGTAGAAAGTGGGCAACTCAGCCTGGGCAGCAATTGAAGCTGCCAAAATAAGATGAGCCTGGGAAGCAGCATGTAGAAGCAAGGTTGAATTCTAGTTCCAGAAAAATATTCATGCATATTTCAGAGGTATGAGAAAACACAATGCCTTGGCAGAAATGCAAGCAGTTTAGCATCATTGCTAGAATTGGTGATGCTCCGAAACATTAAAGGGAGGTGAGTCTCCTGAGGTTACTGTCCAAAGACTTTGCATATTTTCTTTAAGAATTATATTTTGTGTTTGTTTGTTTTGAGAGAAAGGGAGAGGTAGAGAAAGAGACTGTGGGTGGGGGACGGGGGGATAGAAACATCCCATGTGAGAGAGAAACATCCATCCATTGGCTCACATATGCGCCCTGATTAGGGATCAAACCCGCAACCTAGGTATGTGCCTTGACCAGAATTTAACCCGCAACCTTTTGGTGCATAGGATGATGCTCCAAACAATTGAGCCACCTGGGGGCTGCACAATAGTTTTAAAGCATACATTAAATATATATATATATAT